ACTTGGCTTTTGCGTGCAAAGCTGGCCTGAAATGGGTGCATTTTGGTCGTCGTAAGGATGTATCATTTCAGAGTTGCAGCTTCTTAACAAAGCACTCACATACGTGGATGTGATACAAACCTCCAGAAAGCCAGAAAACACTCGCTTTAGCCTACGACTTACTGAAAGGCTCGAACCACCGTAAGACATCACGAGCTAAGAGCCACCTTAAACTGCACAGAGTAGCACGTCGAGCCCCATGCAGGCCAAAGTAGAGAAGAATGCCTCTAGGTGCTAAAATGGACATCTGGTTATCACCATATATAAGATACCAATGAAGTCCGCATCCTTCGTGTCAAAATAGCGCACAGAGACCTAGGAATGAGGGCAACTTGAAGACTCACTTTGTGTCCAAGATCACGAGTGCAGACTGGATAAGGGAAACGAAAGCCTAAAAATATGTACAAGCAAGCTCAACACCGTGAACCTACATGAAGACACAACGAAGTCTATCATTTTGTTCATGTCTCAGTATCGACAAGCTTACTTCCAGGAGAAAGAGAAGAGTCTAACAAGTAGACATAAGATGATTAAGGAAAATGTTTGGAGTAAAGCTCTCCAGGGAAACAGAGTGCCACAAGTGAAGTCGCCACTCCGCAAGAGTGGGTCAGAGTCAGCAAAAAGAGTAGAGGACATGCTTCCACTTCCACACTTATCGAATATAGCGGTTCCATTTGATGCAAATGGTAAAGGATTTATTCCTGAATTCACAGGCGTACACCACTTTATGGTTATTACATTTAGTGGTGAAAAATCCATGGAAGTGTTTACAACCCCTTCTTCTTTCCAGGTAGTGGCAATCCCGATGCCAAAAGAGAGATTTTACAACACAAACCATGCAACTTCAGTTAAATGTTGCATTTGTGAGTTCATTCATAGACATAATAAGATTATCTGGCAGGGATGGAAATCATATTTGATGAGTTCGTAAAACCGTTGTAGCGTCATACACTCCCCTAAAATCAATAGCCTAGGGTTTGACGACTTTCGACATTGATGCTGACCTTGATAGTTTAACTGGACTCGCTAAGCTGAAGGCACCCGACCAAGCATCCTCACCATTTGGCACGCTGTCGTGTTACGTCGCACCACTCATAATAAACTCTCTAGCCAGTTAGTTGGAACGCATCGGTATCTTGGCACAACCACCCAAATATACTATTCCATCCGACTACGCTATCGTGTTCTTCCTTGGTCTCGTATTCGTGGGTATATGACAAGTCGAATAATTAGTGATTGGTCCTTACGCCTGTCAAGTTCGCACCAGTACAAATCCTAAACCATCATGTAACGAAGAAAAGAAAGCAGTCGGACCAGTTCATTCTCAAGGAAGCATCGTCCGCTGAACTCCTCAGGATGTTCCACTTAATAATACCATGAAACTAGGTATCAATGAATTTATGAGTAAATTACAAGATTCTGAGGAGAGGTAGCTTCAATCCTTACCTGTTCATTCACTTGAAGACATTACTAAAAGAATCAGGACTTGTGTATGACCATAACGTATACTCTGTAGGGAGAAGTGAAGCCTGAAGATAGTATTTCTGCCGTTGTACTTAGTATATTTCCCTAACAACGACGATCGAAAGTCCGCAAATGATTATCTGCATGTTGTTTGCGACTTATTTCTCACTATCGACTGCGGAACTACGTATTCCACGTGCTGAACTGGTGAACTTTTAGAACACACTACTCGCAACATTTGCAAGTCGTGACAACTTGTGATTAGTAGGTGTGAGTTGCCTTGGTAATCTGCATGATCAATAAGTCCCAGGTTTGGATAATTCTCAGGTTGTAGTCCTAAGAAATTTATCCGTTTCTGTCGGCTGTAGTTGGGTGTTGTGAAGGTAATGACACACCGACCAGTAGCGGATAGCTTACAGAGGTTTTTTCTTTGATGAACTTTAAATTATTTCCAAGCCAGCACATAGAACTGAATCGCTTTACAATAAGAAATAAAAACAAAGAAGCAGGCAGAGAAAACAGGTAAGAATTCATGCACGGAGTTTGTTTCCCACTTGCATTATTTTCCTTATCTAACATTCTTCGTTATGTCATAAGTTGAGCGTGCTTTGTTTATCAAGCATTTAAAGAGATAGCTTTCATGCTTTTATACGGTTTATGACTTTTACCTGTACTTGCCATAGTGGACAAGGGAAAACGTGTCCTAAGCGTGGAATGAGAATTCGTGGAAATGTCTTCTCCATATTGCAGAAATTTTCCCACAATAGGTGCCTTGTACGTATATATAATGTATACACGAGGCTTGGAAGTTGTTTATTCACTCTGTATACTTGTTGGCTCGACCTGTTCAACTAACTGAGAAACTATCAAGAGGCTCGTTGCATCCTTGTGTGTTTTATAGACCTACCGTAAGCTGACTGACCCTCTGTAAGCGTGAAACCTGATAAGCGAAGAACGACCAGGGAGGCGGTGGAACTACCCACTCTTAGTGGTCTGCACTAGGCTGAAACCACGGCGGTAAATGAAATACATGAACCGGTGGGGGGAGGGGTTATAAACCAGGCAGTGGAACTGGGAGGCGTCAAAAATGGTGCCAGAAAGTTTAATAGCGAGTAGCGTTAGTAGCCTGAACTTCGGGGAATCACAAACAGAGGCCCATACAGCATAGCATCCCGTAAAGGAGCTAGTGAGATGTCCCACAAAATGCCACCAAGGCAAACTGACCTCCACCAAGCGGGATGAAAGAAGAAGGCCTTCCCAAACACCTCAGACTGTGTTCGTCACGAGTGAATTTTCTCGCGAACCTAACCCTAGTGCACATCAGGATCAACACTAATATCGTTTCCGTGGTAATGAGATTTCGGAGGGTTCTGAAAGACTAAAGACTGCGATCCCAGTAGGGACCGGTGACCAGCTTTCCGGACAGGCTTCATGAAAGCCAAAGAGAGACGTACAAAAGAAAGTATGAGGAACCGGTGCCCACCATGATTTTTTTCATCCATCTCAGGAGCATATGTGTATGTAGAGCCTGTTGGGGGCTTTAATCCACAGGCACTGGACTCAAGACTGGAAAGAAATTGTAGACATAAATCCTCAAATCAGAGACTTCAAAATACCTTTGAGATATAGGACTGAAAAAACGGTGATGAGGACACTGTGTAGAAACGGGATAGGAAAGTATCACTACTTGAATAAATTCAAACAAACAAGAATCTTTCGACTGACAATACCAGTGCCTGGTTTATCTGAAAAAAGAGCGGTCACGTAACGGTGAGACCTCTTTCGATAACGAAGTACAAACCTCCAGCAGTTGAACCAGAAGGTCCCGCTGTCGGCAGCAGGCAGACTACTTGGTTTTGAAGAACCTATTAACAAAGGCAGATTGGCCACGAGAATGGTACTCTTCTGTGGCAGATGAACACTGGCACGTGTAAAGGACATATCTGGAGCGCCGTCGGCAAGAATGTCAAAAGTGAAAAGACGCCCACCCATGAAGCACAGCTCGGGACTTGCGAGACACACAGTCAAATAAATGGAAAAAAAGGGTGCAGCACAGGTGACGCCTCCTTTCTCAGCTGTAGGGAGTGATACAACCTATGTAATATTATTGAGGCAACCTGGATAAACAGCTGTTGTGACCTAAAGGAATTACGTGCGTGGGTATAGATATCTCAACCGAACACTTCTGTGACCGACTTCCCTAGATTCCTCTGTTTCACTGGGCCACGAAGATGTCAGAATACTAAAGACTGGCCTGTGACTGTAACAACAACCATTCCAGGGCAAATACATTATCATTTGTCTGTTGGGTTCCTATTGGAGCATAGGGCTACAGTAGCACTTTTTCCACTCCACTGTTTTCTCCGCAATATTTTGAACCTGGCTCCATGACTACTCAGAAGCCCTCATCTCTTCCTCACACGATCTCCTCCATGTCACCCTCGCCTCGGACGATCAAACCGTAGTTTTCCATCTGCGCTACACTCGAGTGCCTGGCGCGTGATGTCCCCGAATGGTCTTCTCAGTGCACGCCCAATCCATCTCCACTTCCTTCCAGTGCATATTTGCTGAGCTATAGGTTCTTGGTTGGTTCGTTGACAGCCAGCCAGCCAGAGTTTTTTGTTGCTTATTCTTACTATTCTGGCCATCTGAGCTTCAGTAACTAGCCAGAGTAGGCATTTGTTGATGAATGTCTGTAGTTTGTTGGAAATCCCTTTCGTAACGCACCAAGTCTCTGAACCACCACGTGGAAGCACTGACTTGACTGAATCAGCGTTGAAAATCCGGATCCTGGCCTTTATGCTGAGTGCAGAAGATCTCCACACTGGTTTAAGGTTGAAGAAGACTTTTGGCTTCGACATCCCATCTGCATCGCCGCCTGTAGTCGAAACAATGATGCCTAGATAGGGGAAAGAGGTTACTTACCTTAAATTTCCCCTGCTCATGGTGACTGGAGCTACTTGTTGTTGTTGGTGGCGCCGGTCGAGTATCATCATACCTCTATCTTCTCTACACTTCCTCGACGTCCCGTTTTCGTTGCACTGCCTCTTCTGCCAATTTGATAGTTTTCACCTGCAGATCTTCGGGTTAGTGCGACATTAGACACAAGTCATCGGTGAAATATAAATCTTCTAGGATCTCTTCCCAGTCCAGTGTATCCCCCTTCTCGCTCCTCACTGTTTGTTGCATGATCCAGTCCACCTTAATCAGGAGGATCATCGGTGATAGTAGACAACCTCGTCTTACTCCTGTCCCCAGTCTTCATTTCATAGGCGTCACCGAGCTTTCCATTGTGGATCACCTAGCATGTGGCGTTGTCATATACCTGCTGAATGAGACTGGTAAAGATCTGTGGCACTCCGTGGTTGTGAAGCAGCTGCCAAATCACTTTCAAAAGTATACTTTCAAAAAGAGTATTCCACGCTTATGATGTATGAAACACAATTTTATATTTTCGTGGTGTATTTGTTTTAACTCGTCAACATACAAAAACTCTAGCGTTATTAATCTGGCACTGTATCAAATTATGTTCTTCCTACAGTAGAAAAGTGTTTCGAATCTTTTATAACCATTTTTTTTCGTAAAAAGGTGAGTAATGTAGTGACTTAACTAAATAAGTATTAGGAAGCAATAGTCTTGAATGTATATGAATATTTATCAACTAATATACTTGGAGAATCGCGCGATCATATGTATATAAATGTACATGATGTCATATCTGACATCACGTACAGTTTTCCGAGTACATGAAAGAATAAGAAAACTCATGATATTGCGAAAAATGATAAGTGAAAAAGTGACAGGTACTGCAGGATCATTATGTGCACAAGTCCTATACCATGATATAGGTACCATAAGTTTTCTTATTCGTTCATATGCCATGTATGGTATAGGACTTGTCATTTTGACTGAAAATAAAGGATAGTGAAGGGATTGTAGAATTCTATAAAAGCTTCACTGCACTCCATAAGTACCTGCCTATATATTTCTTTGCATAAAGATTTCATGCAATCATTATAGTGAAACACTAATAATAATGCACATGCATTAAATTAATAAAGGAAGTCAAACAGTGACATTCTAAAGGTGTGGGAAATGTAATTAATTATTTAAAAAAGAAACTATCTCTGTGCATAGTATTGTGAACAGGACTTGCTCTCCCAGTCAGCAATTCGGTGTGCGTAAAAGCCGTTTAACAGTTTCAAGGTCACTGAAAAACTTCGGGAACTACCCAAAGTGTCTGCACTTAGCCCGAAAGTTTGGATGTTTATTGAACGCATTCAAACGCCCAAAGTGTATGCAATGCGCTCGAAGATTTTGAATAGCCTATATCCCAGCCAGCATTAGCTTCGGGCGCACATTGTGAGTTTCGGGCTAAAACCGAAAATTTGACTTCGGGCGCATATCGGGGTACTCACGATATCCCCCGAATGTTCCAAACCTTTTCTCCAAAATTGACAAAAGTCACGAAGTGCGCCCTAAGTTTCTTCAATGCGCCCAAAGTACCCAAAGTGTCTGTAGTGCGCCCGAAGATTTGTAATAACCCATATCCCAAGTGATGAGAAGGCCGAATCTGTAATATTTTGGTCTGAATATTTGACGTTTGTGTATTATATGTGTTTATGTTATAGAAGTCAATAAAATGTTAGCGGCCAAGTGAAATATTTGTGAAATTTAGGGGAAATACCCAAAAGTTGCTAAGCGCGCCCGAAGTAGCTTCGTGTGAAACCCGAAAGTTCCAAAGAGCGCCCAAAGTAAGTGCTGGCTGGGATCCAAAGTTATGAGAAGGCATATTGCGTAATATTGTTATTATGAATATTTGACGTTTATGTGCCACGTGCTTGCGTTATAGAAATCTATTAAATGTTAACGGCCAGGTGAAATATTTATGAAGTTTAGGGGGAATGACCAGAAGTTGATAAGTGTGCCCAAAGTAAATGCTAGCTGGATGGACGAACACCAAGCTTATTTTTGAAGGGTTTCAGTGATACAGCCTGAACGTCATCTGCAGGAAGAATATTCTAAGCCTTTACAGTTCTGAGGGACTGTACTTTGTGTATGATGTCCATTTCATCATGTCCAGGTTTTTACTTCTGAGTTTTTGCCTAAGATTACCATTACAGCATAGCTGAAGCAAACGACAAAGCGAAAGATGTGAAGTTGTACATCATTATTAGGCTACCATCATAAGACTTATATATTGGCTGTTGCTGTGCGTTCCTAGTATGGCTTAAAACAGTTCAAAAGTGGTTTGGTGTGGCATGCACTCCAGGATACATTCAAAGTTGCTTTTATATTTCCTAAACGAAAGAGGGCAGACTTTAGATACAAATTCCAGGCCAATTTACATGAAACTGCTAGAAATTCGGTAGAGGCCTCTGTCATCAAACTGTTCAAAGACTAGTCAGAAGGTTACAATTATCAGATTTGTGCGGAATTCATTTATTTCAAAGTTATCGTAAGATGTAACGTTATGATAAACTGAGAGTCCAAGATCCTTCTTACCGAAGATGCTTTCATCTGTGTATCGTATAGCTTGAATGTGTGACACAGATCATGAGCACACGTATCACCTTATATTTTTCATAATCGAAGGTTATACATCATTATAAAATCAACTTGGAAGTTTTCACTAGCAACTCTTACTCAAGTTTGATATCAACTGACTTAAACATCTTTTTGGCTGATTTGCCTTGATGAAAGCTTTCATGTATCACTAAGGGACAACTTTTTCATTGCACACCAAGTATGACACATTCCTGAACAAGTTGTCACCAAACACACAAACACAAGTATTTGCAACATATCTCGAAAGAGCGTTATTTCAAGCTTGACTCTTAAGAACTGCGTGAAAATTCAAAATTTGAAAGCTTTAGCACAAATAAAGAAGATTCGGGTGAATTGTGAACTAATAGAATTATCTAGATGCACAACATTTAGAGAAGTATGAGAAGACGTTACATTTCTGTCAGTCTCATTTTTTACAAATAAGCTCATTAAAGCATATGACGCATGTTTATGTTTGGGACTAATAGGACTTTAGACAACTGGCTCCCCTTTGAAAGCATCCGTGAAAAGCGTCTAAACCTTTTTTCAAATTTAAAGTTCTCTTGGTACGCAGTTCAGCGGGTAAATAGCATTCGAAACATTGACAATTTTAATGTTACAGACATCCAGTCCATAGATGTTACAAATGTCAATTTGCTGGTAGACCGACGTAGTTAGGATCACAGATGTCAGTACATACAACAAGTCAAATTAGAATGGTCACAGATAAAGTTCCTCATGGACACCACAAGTCATTGTCTCAGACGATACAGCTCCATAAACCCCTATCTAGCTATATGAATTTGAAAAGGGAGATATGATTGGCCTGAGTTACTTGTTTGGTACTGCCTTCGCAGTTGGAGGCTGTCATAAAAGCTGCATATAGACTTAACCGAATCCCTCTATTCATGCCAATAAACCTGAAAACATTTGCGCGACAGTATGTGTATCTAAGATCATCAACCTGTCAAAGAGTGAAAATGCCATCAATGTACTCTCTTTAAGAACTGAAATCCCCCCAATTTTCCTTAGTACACCCTTTTCCAATTCAGATCAGATGGCAATGAATATGGACATTAGTACGTTAGATATGGCACCAGTCAAAATAAATTCCCGGGTCTTCATAAAACGGAATTTTGCCTATCCTCCAGTAAACTGGAGTGATAAGTGACCTTGGTCAGTTGTATACGGCTACTCCTGTTATCTATGCACTGGCTACAACCCGATTGACTTTCATCAGTAGTTATGCACTTTCGTAGAAGTATGTGTGTGGCTGATAATTCCTGGCTGCCCACATTGTGGACGTTATTTCTGCAGGCGACCTGGAACAGAAAAAGGAAAATATCGCGTGACTACACAGCCCACAGAGTATTCACTTGAGGCCAGTCATACACAACCTTTTGAGGATTGTTGGTTCGGACTCCGAGGAGGAAAAACCTATACCACCGGAACCAGAGGAATGTAGGGTGGAGGTGTCCTGTTTCTGGTACCAACTTTTCGCAACCCTCCCTTCCCATAAGAGAGACAGCGACGCTCTGGTACTGCTGGTAACCTGTGGGAAAAACCTGACTGCTGTCACACTCCTGTGCAGCCGGCAATGCAACTTCACCTTCGAACACACATCCTGGAGTAGTAATTTACATCATTTCAGTAACTATTTTTCGTCTGACCACTATGCAACATACCTTTCTGACATAGCAGAACCTCAAGTAACAAGCCTTCCAGCAAGAGTAGCTTGTTGAGTCATTTTTGTGTTGAAACCTGACAACCACATCAAGATATAAGCCATCATTAGAAACCCAGGAACAACCGACTCATAACACCTGGCAAGTTTCTGATCTGCTAATCGTTTTACTGACTGTATCTTTAACCTTCGCTAGGTCTTAGGAGACAAGATGACACCAGCACTTGACATCATCCGACCTGAAGGCACCACTTAAATCCGTTGATTATTATATTATTATTAGTCCCTTGGGTTCCTAGTGGAACATAGGGCTTCAGTAGCACGCCTCCAGTGACCTCTGTTCTCTGAGATCTTTTGAACCTGGTTCCACGACAGCCCAGAAGCTCTCATTTCCTCCTCGCATGACCTCCTCCATGTCACCCTCGGACGTCCAACTCGTCGCTTCCCATGGGGATTCCACTCGAGGGCCTGACGCGTGATGTCCTCAGTCGGCCTTCTCAGTGCATGGCCAATCCATCTCCACTTCTTCCTGCATATTTGTTGCGTGATAGGTTCTTGGTTGGTTCGTTCCCAGAGTTCCTTGTTGCTTATTTTTTCTGGCCATCTGATCTTCAGCAGCGAGCGTAAGCAGTTGTTGATGAATGTCTGTAGTTTATTGGAAATGCCTTTCGTGACGCGCCAAGTCTCTGAGCCATACAAGAGCACTGACTTGACGTTGGTGTTGAAAATCCGTATCTTGTTCCGCATGCTGAGTGCAGAAGATCTCCACACTGGTTTCAGGCTAATGAACGCCTGTCTTGCTTTTCCGATTCTGACTTTGACGTCCTCGTCCGTCCCGCCTGTAGTTGAAACAGTGCTTCCTAGATAAGTGAAGGAGGTTACTTCCTTCAAGTTTCTCCCGTTGACGGTGATTGGAGTTTGTTGTTGTTGTTGATGGTGGTGGTGCGGTATCTTCATCACTTCTGTCTTCTCTATATTCACCTGAAGTCCCGTCTTAGCTGCCTCTTCTGTCAACTTGTTAGTTTTTGCCTGCAGATCTTCAAGTTTATGTGACATTAGGCATAAGTCATCGGCGAAATCCAAGTCTTCTAGGTTCTTTTCCGTCGTCCAGTGTATCCCCCTCTTCTCGCTGCCTACTGTTTGCTGCATGATCCAGTCCACCACAATAAGGAATATCATGGGGGATAGTAGGCAACCTTGTTTCACTCCTGTCTTCACTTCAAAGGCATCACTGAGCTTCCCATTGTGGATTACTTGGCATGTGGCATCTTCATATAGTTGTTGAATGAGGCGGATAAAGGTTTGCGGTACTCCGTAGTATTGAAGCAGTTTCCAAATTACTTCTCGGTCGACGCTGTCAAAGGCCTTCTCAAAGTCGATGAAGTTGAGGTATAGAGCTGATTGCCATTCTACGCTCTGTTCTATGATGATACGAAGCGTTGCAATTTGGTCAGCACATGATTTGTACTTCCTGAAGCCTGCCTGTTCCGGTCGCAGTTTTGAATCCAGTGCGTCTTTAAGCCTCTCCAGGATGATGCGGCTTAATATTTTACTTGGGGTGGACAGGAGAGTGATTCCGCGCCAGTTCTTGCAAGCACTGAGGTCTCCCTTCTTCGGCAGTTTGACAAGGTAACCCTTCTTCCAATCGTCAGGTACCTTCTCTTCCTTCCACACCTTCTGCAATAGTGGTGTGAGCATGTCCGCTGTTGTCTCTGCATCTGTTCTCAGTGCTTCTGGCGGTATTCCATCTGGTCCTGCTGCTTTCCCGCATTTCAGTAGCTTTATGGCGTTCAGGACTTCCATTTTCGTTGGGGGATTTATGTTCACTTGTAATTCAGCGGCTGCAGGTGGTATTTCTGGACGAAGTGCAGGTGGTGGTGGTGGTCGATTCAAGAGCTTCTTGAAGTGGTCGGCCCATCGTTTCCTCTGTTTCTCTTCTTTTGTAATTAAATTTCCTTCTTCATCTTTTATTGGTTTCATCTGTGTTGGTCTCTTCCCTGATAGCAACCTGGTTATTTGATACAATGTCGTCAGGTCTCTTTTACCTGCAGCCTGTTCTGCTTCACTTGCCAGTGTGTCGTAGAAGTGTCTTTTGTCTTTGCGTGCACTCTTCTTCACTTCTTTGTCCAGTGTTTTATACATTGTGCTCAGTTCCTCTTGTCGTTGAGCATCCTTGCACTGGTTTATCTTCTGCTTCACCATCCTCCTCTCCTCTATCAGCTTCCAGGTATCCGTCGAGATCCATTCCTTGTCTTCTTTCTTCTTCCTTCCTAATACGGTTGTGCAGGTTTCTTTCCACATAGCTTTTAAAGACTTCCAGTGTTCTTCCACACAGGTTTCTTCAGGGATGTCCCTCGATGTCTCCCATTTTGTCTTGATGGCTGCCTTGAAGATCTCCTTTGTAGTTTCATCCTTCAGTTTCCGAGTGTTGTACTTGAATTGAGGTCTATCACCAGCTTCCTTGAAGGCTTTTAACTTAATTTGGAAGGTTCCTTGCACTAGATAGTGGTCTGAACCTACATCTGCTCCTCTTCTTGACCTTGTGTTAAGTAGACTGCGTCTCCATTTTCTTGAGATTGAGATAAAGTCGATTTGATTTTTAGTGTGTCCATCTGGTGAAGTCCATGTCGCTTTGTGGATATCCTTGTGCCTGAACACACTGCCTCCAATCACCAAATCGTTGAATGCACAGAATTCTGCAAACAATTCTCCATTCTCATTCATTTCACCTAGCGCCTCTCGACCCATGGTTAGTTCTCTTCCTGTGTTGTCCCCTCCCAGTTTGGCATTCATGTCGCCCATTAGAATTTTGATATCGCCAACTGACGTCTTGTCCAGTGTTGATTGAAGTTGTCTGTAGCAATCCTCCTTTTTCTCTTGCTCTGCATTATTTGTAGGTGCATAACATTGTATGATTGTGACCTTTCTTCCTTTTGAGTTGAATCTTGCTGTCATGATCCTGGAGGAGATTGGTTCCCACTGCATGAGAGAGAGCCTTCGATGCTCTTGAGGACATCATGATAGCCACTCCCTCAGTGTGCTCGTGGTTGGCGTCTGGGTGACCGGAGTAGATTATTGATTCTCCAGTTGACAGTTTGGAGAGTCCACTCCCATTCCATCTGCTTTCGCAAATCCCAAGCACTTCGATGTTATACCTTCTCATCTCCTTTGCAATCTGGGCTGCCTTACTGGGTTCAAACATCGTGCGGACATTCCATGTCCCCATCCTTACTTTCGCTTTCATCGAGAGAAGACACATCGGCCAATTGGCTTCCCGAAGGCTTTCACCAACTGGCGTCATTTCGCCTCTCCGATTCCAGCGTGGAATAAGTTTGTTTTCATTTTTTATATTTTGTTTGTGCTTTGAAGTTTGTTTAGCGGTTAGATTTGTTTTAGGGGGTAGGGTTGCTAGCCCTATGCCCAACCTTCCCTCTTTACCCGGGCTTAGGACCGGCTAGTAACTAGTAAACTAGTTAACCAGGCGAGGTTTAAATCCGTTGATAGTGAGACTTTATGACAGTGTTTCTCACTCTGTGGCGTTCAGGATAAGTATAAAGGCTTTGTGTTCGAACATGTGTAGGGATTTTACAGCTAACGGTGAAGTATCGCGTGATCTGTACACGCCACCGAGAAAGTCCACTTCCTCTATTCTAGTTTAACTTGTCTCTAATTCTATGTAGGTATCCGTCTTCTTATCTGACTCCACAGGAATCAACCTTATCAAGAGAAATTCTTAAGTGAATTTCGGGTAAACAGATAAAAGTCGTTTTACATGTAGACGCTGACAAGATGTACAGTCTTCTGCACGCTTTGAATGACGACTGAATACCGTTTTAAGTGAGTTTCTTATCACCTACGCAAGAGTTTCGCAGACAGAAGCCAGATTCATAAGCCATCGTATATTCAGGATTCTATGTCTTAAAATCAAATCAACCCAAAATACCTCTATCCATTTTATATGTGTGAAGAAACTATGTAAGTGCTCCGATTTCAACACTGCAAACGTGTCATTTACATATCAGAACCATATTTTTAGAGCCAGACTAGATGTTCCTACAGCCATCCGTTCTCAACTATCCATAAATATGTCAGCCACAATAGGGAATTTGATGGTTCCATGGCAACTCCTTCTGTTAGTTTGTATATTTTTCTCTGAAACCTGAAGATTGTGGTGGTTAGGCATGGCTGTAGTCCTAGCATGGTATCATCTGCTGGTACCTTAGTTCGTAGTGTAAGCTCACTGCTTCCAGAGCCATACCAATCGATATATTAGTATACAAACTAACTACATTAAAACTAACCATTTTTTCATCGTGATCTAAATGTGTCTAATCTGTACTTCAAGTCATAAGAGAAAGTAAGTTTGGATTTAGAACGGTTCTAAGTGGACCTAGTTCCATCGATAAATATTTAGATAAACCAAGTAGGAGTGTTTCTAAAGTGTACTTTGGGTCTAACAGAATTTCCTGTCTTGTGAATTTTAACAGTAACATAAATCCTACTGGTATTATTAGTTTTCGGCATTAAATCAACCCATTTTGACTCACAAAGGAACGGATTCATTCAGCGTTTTAGGTTTACCGCAGTTTTCTTAAACCTTATTTATAATAGTGCCATTAATTTATTTAATTTCTTCGTATTGTCCTGTTTCTAAATGTTTCTTGAATTTCTGAACATAATCAGATTTGTTGAACACTACTGCTTACTTGCCTTTGTCCGATTTGGAGGTTATTATATTGTTTTCATCCAGAAGGTTCCAGAAAGCTTCTTTTCCGCTTTCGGTAAGTTTTATTTTGCCTTCTCCTGTTTCAATTCACTAACTACTACATTGAAGTTAAGTCTCTTCTCCAGTATCTTTAATTCTGTTAATCTTAAAACCCTGGTTGAGAAATTGACAACCCACTTGGTCTTATCGTTGACTGGCGATGTGCTACCAGGAATTTTATTATTGTCTGCTGGATACTTTCGGATGATGTCAAGTGCTGGTGTCATCTTGTCTCCTAAGACCTAGCGAAGGTTAAAGATACAGTCAGTAAAACGATTAGCAGATCAGAAACTTGCCAGGTGTTATGAGTCGGTTGTTCCTGGGTTTCTAATGATGGCTTATATCTTGATGTGGTTGTCAGGTTTCAACACAAAAATGACTCAACAAGCTACTCTGGCTGGAAGGCTTGTTACTTGAGGTTCTGCTATGTCAGAAAGGTATGTTGCATAGTGGTCAGACGAAAAATAGTTACTGAAATGATGTAAATTACTACTCCAGGATGTGTGTTCGAAGGTGAAGTTGCATTGCCGGCTGCACAGGAGTGTGACAGCAGTCAGGTTTTTCCCACAGGTTACCAGCAGTACCAGAGCGTCGCTGTCTCTCTTATGGGAAGGGAGGGTTGCGAAAAGTTGGTACCAGAAACAGGACACCTCCACCCTACATTCCTCTGGTTCCGGTGGTATAGGTTTTTCCTCCTCGGAGTCCGAACCAACAATCCTCAAAAGGTTGTGTATGACTGGCCTCAAGTGAATACTCTGTGGGCTGTGTAGTCACGCGATATTTTCCTTTTTCTGTTCCAGGTCGCCTGCAGAAATAACGTCCATTATGTGGGTGGTGGGAGGTGTCGATTGCTCGCCCACGTCCAGTTGTGTACAAAATCCAACCAAACATTACCTACCTTTCTTACCTCAGTCTTCTGTTTTGCTTGCACTTCGTGATACCATTACTGAGCTTCTTTCAAGTTTCTCAACCTCGCCATTTTTAACCCAGTGCAAGCTATCTAATTCATCGTAACGTCATTTGCAGTCCCCTTTACACCCCTCTGTCGGTTTTATATTGGGGTTTTCAACTTTCTTACCCTGTACCAAATCGGACAGCAGACATAGCTCACCTGAACTCCTCATTCTGAAGCTACGGGCGTATACTGCCTGAAAGAAATGTTTACTGGATCTGAGTGTGGTTATTAACTTGACCTTACCTAGTCATTGCAGTGAGTCTTCAAATTCACTTCATGAATATCTGGAGATTCGAAGACTAGCTATCGTGGCGCGGTTAGTGCATACATAACGTGAGGTTGTAGAGCAGAAAGCGTTTTTTTCACTGGGTGTTGGTCAGTAACCTTTTATGTTCTATCAAATCTGTCTGTTAGAACTAGGAAGGATCATGGGACTACCCGATCGGAATCCTACACCAACGAACGGACAGCGGTGGTCTTATGTTGCAATTTTGTCCCAGCAATCACTTGTTTCTAGTTATCATTAACTTCAAGCATAAGGAAAGGAACTGCCTGACTTCGTATCTAACAAACAAAGCCAACGATGGACATAGACAGATCACATTGCTATTAGCCATCGGTGGAGGATTGCTGCTGTTTCTGGAGTGCCAGTCTGGACTCCGATTACATTTTAGTATAAGCACGTGGATGTTTGCTCTAAGGTGGTAGGTAGCTAAGTATTTATCTCAACATGACAGAAATCCTCATCCTGGGGAGAGGTGGCGTGATATTGTCTGCTCTAAAAACAGAGGGTTAGACAAGTGGTAACAATTTGGTAACATCCAAAGGTTAACGAACGTCAATGAATTTCCATGACGTCGTCTCAACTAATTGAGATAGGTAGACTGATTGTAGCTATCTTTGATCACAACGAGGGTCGAAAGCAGCTGAAAAGTAAATTAAATAGGATTCTATGAAGCGACTGCAAGCAGTGGTGAGTAGTGAAAGCGAGAGAGATGGAGAAGAAGTCAGCATTAGTAAAAGTAGATATTTATTTAGGATACCTACAAGAAGAAGACGATGGTTAGTGAAACCATTGCGGATGACGATGGTACCCTGATAACCTCTCAGGACGTTTGGGAGACACTTTGGAGCACACCGCAACTGGCCCTCAGCAACGATTCAGATGATCAACATCCAGCTTGAAGCTGAATGGTCCATAGATGTCGGTCAGTCCTCTCTCTTCGAAGTTGAGAAGACTGTTTAAAACCTGAAACGAAGCAGAGCAGCGCGACCTGATGGTTTACTGCCAGGAGTTTTCAAGTATGGGTAGGAAATTGGTGTTTAAAGTGACAGAAGTACTAGGTAGCATGCCAGAATCAGAAGTAGTGCCATCATATCTGTCTACCTCTGACCATCCCAGTGTATAAAAAGAGAGAGGTGTTCTTGTGACAAGCATAGAGGAATTAGTTTGACTAGTATTGTGTCCAAGATCCAAAGGTTCATAGTTATCTGATGCCTAACTGGAGCTTGGGAACAACAAACTTGAGAAAATTAGGTGGGTTTCGGACCCAGACTAGAATACATCGATCGAATTTTCGTCCTTCGGCAGAATATGGAACTCAAGCATTTTTACCAGCAGCCGACACTCACCATATTTTTTGATCTGAAGGCGGCATTTGACCCGTTGGACTTTGTGGTGTTGTGACAGGGTCTGCCTGTGAATGAAGTACCAGGCAGGTACACAACGCTAAAAAGACTATCTACTCAAACTCGTGCAAACATGTTATTTTAGGGAAAGCTGTCACCTGGATTGATGACAAATGGTAGTATCCGGTACGGAAATCCTCTGTTGCTGTTCCTGTTCAACTTCATTATAGTGCACTAATGGACATAACCCTAGGTACATCTATCTTCACATGGATTGATCTACTCCCTGTTAATAATCTGAATGACTTGAAGCGTGCAGACGATATTTTCCTTCTAGGTGAAGTAGCCGACGCATTGTAAGATCTTATGAATGCCTTGAGCAGAAATATGTTTATATTTGGCATGCGTTTCTCATCGGTCACATGTAGGATGATATTTCAGGACTGTTCTGTCCTGTTCCAAGTTTAATGATAGCAAGTAAGTCGAGGAATCCGTTGACTCCTTTCACTTACTTAGGGAGTTGCATCAGCCCAAATGCGCTGGTTGATGGCGAAACCTCAGGTCGGATACGGAAGCTTCATTAGAAGTTTTCTAACTTTCGTCATGTCTGGGACCAACTGCCAAGATATCCGACTAACTGTTTAATGCCAAGCATACTGCACCGAAATCTGTTCTGTCCTGTTATACAACTATGAGACATAGCTGTTGAAAGCAGGTTTCAATAGATTAAAGGTTCTCTAGCACGGGCATTTTCTCTAAAGTGCTCAGATACAGTGGAATCACCATGTGAGCAATTTCAAAGTTATTGGAGGGGTACTGGACAAGACGGGCAATTCGGTCGATGAGGTTGTGAACCATCAGAGACTGAGATGGTTGAAAAATGTTTTTGTGCACTGAGCCCTGGCTACCTCGGTGTTGAGTGCTAACCGAAGTTGTGTTTGATTCGAAAGATGCTAAGTTCGGTCAGGCTAAAACGTGATACTAGTCAGTAAAGTCGCTGACTGTTAGTCTCAGCTGTGTAGGGAGAGGCAAGCTGCCAGTTGGGATCCTTGATACACATGAGCCAATGGTTGAGGAGTTTTTGTGATATGGCTAAAGATCGATCACAATGGTGCAGATGTATTCACTCTCTAAAGTTTTCTAAAGTCTGAACATTCTTACTAATCCTGCTTTGGAAGATCATTTTCATCCCACTTACCTATATCTACTTTGGTATCTCTCTTTTTATATCCACTTTTTTTCCACATACTACTAGGAAGTGTTGCAACTTGAACTGATGCATTTCTGTGTGAGTTTTTGGGTTGAATTTGTCTTCGATTTTAAGCTTCGTTTCGGCGTCTAATGATCATATAATTTTAAGTATTTGATTCCGTTGTATTTGTCAGACAATTTTCCCCACAATGTTTGAAGTCTGGGACATCTAGTGAAGCAAGCCAGTTGGATCGGATATGGTCCCCATACACCAGTAAGCATTTTAGTTGGTTCAGCCAGTAATCTTCCCTCCACTGTCTTACAACACGTCGAATGTATATCCACACCGTCCTGCGAAGCTTTCTTTTTTTCAAACTACTTGCAGTCTACTCAACGTTTTTCATAGTTGGAGGTCCATTTTCAATGTTCCTTTAAGTGTATTACTGTATATCAAGTATTTGGTAGATGTGAGTCAGTCCAACTATTCTTGAATTGTTCCACCCATCATTTAGTCGTCTCTCCTATAGGTGAGTTGGAAACCAACCTTTCTGTATTATAGTTTAACAACCTATTGCTTTCGAATCCAGTGATTTGATATGAAGTTATTTTCTTCAAGACTTTTTTTAGTATTCTCTCATCAACCGTTCTCTCAATAGTATACTTAATCGTCATGTTTTGTTTCTTCATCTAAAAGTAGATTCTGTTAACATTATTTTGAACTTTAAAACCATATCGCTAATCAGTTTGTAAGTAAGATTTTGAAGACAATTGATTGTTTTATTTGCGAAGGTGTTATATATTCTCACTTGCTTTATCAAAAGAGCTACTGATGTGGTAACTAGTAAATTTATGATATATCACTTCATACATTGATTATGACGATTTTCTCGGCTTTTCCCTTTCTGTCTGTTTCCAGAAATGTAAGATGGTCACAAAGTAAACAGTTATTTATATTCAGGATGTACAGTAGTACTCACTTTGTCGATTTTGCTAAATGTTTTCAGGAAATTACTTTTACTTAGATGCTCATCACCTCTGAGATGTTCTGATTCCTCGTGTTTTAAGAAAGCATTTTTCAGACACATCAAAAGCAAATGCCGAAGTCAAATAAAAAAGGCAGTAAAAGACTGAAGATTTCAAGGAAAAAGAGGGTACGTTGATATTTTATTACTAATACTATTACAGAAAACCATCTTAGAAATTAAAATCGACAAATTTTGTTCAGATGAAGAAAAGTATGCAGATTTTTTAAAGCGATCAAGTATGTGGATGACGCAAAATGAGGAGCAATTGAGAAGTCTTCTTCATTTAACTGTTCAGTACTCAGATATTAATTTCACTTATGATGATTTCAAGGCTGGTTTGTTGTTTTTTGCTGACATGTAAAGCTGTATTATACATAAAAAGCTCTATTATCGCTGAACTGTCCGTTCACGAAACTGGAACTTGATGTAATTACAAGACTACTGGATAGAGATAAGAATGGATTCATTGAATACGAAGATTTAGCATCCAGTCTGATAAGTTTAAGGTAAGTCATAGACTATTGTATAGTAATTTTGAAACACGAAATAGTAAAAAATAAAAATGTATTATTGAATGAAATAATTTTTCGCACCCTGTGGAATGAGTTGGAAAAGGAATTGCCAAACTTTTTAAATTACAATTGGACTCGTGTTAGCGTTTTATGTTTACATTTGAAAACCACTGTTTTTTTTTATCAGTAACTTCTGGGTATCATGTTACTTCACATATTATAACTGATTAGTAAATGTCTTATATATATATATATATATATATATATATATATATATATATATATATATATATGTATATATATATATATATATATATATATATATATCGATCTGGCCAATCTCTAGCTTTTCATGTATCTTCATTCAACACCTAGTTTCAATAATCTTATTAGTTGACCATTTTTACTTTTGTATCAAAAGAACAATTAGTGTATTGGTAATGAATAATTAGTTCTTAACACACATGCGACTAGTTAGTTTATTCTTTGTTTTCTTTACTGGTTGCCATAGTTAAGTTGGACGCGTAGAGGGAAGAATAAAAAATAATATGTCCATTGAATGACCAAAGATATGAAATGAGGTTTTTATAAAGGTAGTTCAAACCGAAGGCTTACACCTTCCTCCCAAATGGAGTTTCCTAACTTGATATGTAGTGGGCGCTGCTGACCAGAATGGATATAAGTAGTATATGTTGAGAGGGCGACAGAAATCTTAGGGAATTATCAGCAGTAGGTAAAGATACTACCAACAGAAACTCAAGAGACAGGGTGGGCGTATTAAGAGCAAATCAAGATAGAAGCAGAAGAGGAAATGAAGCACATTATGCAAATGACTGTCTTAATGGAAAGTATACAATATTTGATGACTACTATACAAGTTGTCAATAAGAAACCTTCCTTCCTTCGTCTCAGTCTTCTCGTTTGTTACAAATACACAAAATTCATTTGTAAATTAAAGAATTAAATGCTTTAAGTAGCTTTTCAACAAAATATGAATAAGGTGAGGTGTAGTATGTGTTTATCAGGTGTAAACAAGAAAGTATATAAACGGTCGACCGAATGATGAATCAGAGTAGTTTCGAACCGAAGCTGCTATGAAAATCCTTTCATACTCTTCTTCGAATTAATCTCCAGCGAATTTTGTCACCTCTTTTCTCTTTTTCAACCCAATAAAGTACGTGATGTGTTAGAAAATGTCAGTGATGTTCTTGCTTTGTCTTCTGGACACTGCTGTGAAAGCTCATAGAAAGAATTAAGTTGACACAGGCTTCTAGTTATTTCGTTTTCATTATTATCTATGCACAGCTTATAAAAAGCCAGTTATCTTTGTCGTTATCAGACCATTATGAATATTTTGAGTGATACCACTACGGAAATGCGGTTCTCAAACAATAGAACTGTTTTCATAAGATTTTATCGTGCTTACCTCAATAGGAAGCGAAAAAATGTTAGACGTTTGAAATATGATAAGTATATACCTGATCTGTGATACTGAAGTTCTTTGCCAACATTATTTAAGCCATAATGTAACATGTGGAGCAAAACATTCATCTAAGTTTGCTCAATAATTTAAACAAAATATGATAATTCTTGGAAGAAATTAAAACCTTTTTGTTATCCAGTGTGTCAGATCATCTTGTTTTATCTATCAAATTTAAATATCACTTTGACTATCTGAAATAGCTGCGGTTTGGCAGATTAGTTTTGATACTAGGTGATAATTGACGGTGAAATGAAAATTTGGGCTGCAGGGGATTCCAACCAGTGACCATAGACTTTTCTTCCCAGTGCTCTGCCAATCGCATAATATTCTCAAGATGCAAAGTTTGATTCTTCACTTTCATGAGAGTCTCTTATGTATTTTACTTTCATGCTACTTGGCAACTGCCATATCACCCAGCTGTAGTTTTACGCTGCACTGAAATTTGCTTCGAAAAAGTATCTGTTAGAAAATATCACTGAGTTAACTTTCATTTGTTTACTTTTCGTTGAACCACGAAGATTTCATTAATTAGCATTCATCATTTTTTTTATGCATTTATGCCACCTAGTGGGTAATCTTAAGCAGATATCTCTAGCTGCCTTCTACCTATTGATATATTTCAACTGTTTCAATAGTGAACTTTGAAGATTGTTCTCAATATAACCCTTAAAAGTTGAACTTTTTCGCCAGGGGGTCTTCTGTCAGTCGATTAGACAAGTGAAGTTATTTAGTAGAAAAATGATCATTATCAAATTATTTCTATCGTGAAATGATCAATATTTCCCTTTATTTTTTAGTATTAAAGATGGAGCTTTGAAAATAAAGAACATTGAGAAAATAGAAAAATCTGAAAGAGGGTTTGTGACTTCTGAATGAATGAATTTAGTTTTTTAAGTTAGTTTCAATGCAAATGATGCAATAAATATACTAGTAAATAATTAACTGAATACTGTGAGGGTGGTGATTAACTCAATAAATAAAGATCTGCGTCATAACCAAATCGTACCGACATTAGACTTCATAGGCCAAGGATAGAACCCCCACTGAAGTGATATGCACACAAGTCTTAGCAACCATCCCTACGTTAGAAGGTGACAGAGTGTAGGCGTATTGATATGCGCCCATCAGCTAGAAATCTAATCAGATCTATGCTGCACCAGCACCCGCTTCAAAGCTGTATAAATAGTGCTATGGAGGTCAAAGCAAAGATGAATAGAGGATTTGGATGACCACTTTACCGTACCGTTAGTTCGAAACAACTGAGACATATTGTTGTAAGCCCTTAATCTATCTGAATTGTGTTTCGATATTGAAACACCCTACTCTTATATGCGATTTTGCAGCATGAATCGAAGGTGACCGTGATATCAGGAAAACACAGTAACAGTTGGCTTTTCAATTCATGCAATGGTGTTTGATCATCTAACTGAGGATGAACATCAGATAAGTGCACCTATGATCTTTTCGGAACCTAACCTGCTCCCCGTAGATCAGTTTTCACTTCAATTTATAGAGCATATGAAGCACGATAGCTGCCAGGATTCTGAAGTGGGATAATTAAATTGCTTTCCGAAGTGCTTAGCACAGTACTTCAGGCTTCCACCGAGGCCAATGACAGGTGTACCATCCACTGCACAAACCGTTTAGCTGACATCAGACTTTTCGCTTTCTGTTGATCAGGCGTGTTGTTGTTCCAATCTCCCCTTCACAGTCTACACATATGTTTTGCATGTTCTGTTACACACCGTTGTTCTCACTATCCACCGAAACGAACCGATGAGCATCAAGACATTGCAAGGAGTTCGTGTAAACCTAGTTTAATATGCTTACATCAATGGTGATCGAAGGGGTTTATTTGAGTCCAGCCTCGAGTGATAGAATTCCATACTAGATTTGTTTATTTAATATATAGCCCACAGTGATTCAGTATCATTTTCTCCATAAATACGATGATTTATGAAACTTGCTTCAGTGGTAGAGGATGGGCGCCAGCTAGTACAATGGTGATCTTGAATAAAGTTGATCATGGCTAAAAACAGTTTCTCATCTGTGAAGTGCTACAGAAGATCCTAATTATGTACCCTGTGACAGAGTAATCTCTTTCTGCTAAACGACTATCTTTTGGTCGTAAACACACATTGTGTACATTCGATTCTCCATCTGACAATACTAAATCTGTCAGGTGCATTTGATAGAAAAGGTTACTTAATTATTAATGTATGGATCCTTAAACCAAAGCAAGTAGTTGTTTCACCGAACTACTACACAATCCCTTGGCTTGAAGATTGGTCTACTGGGTAGCACTGCAACGTCAAGTGCTCAATTCCCATGATTACCGGATAATCAAAGTAGATACGTACATCGTTTGTCCATTCTAGACCTTGTTGTCAGTATAACCTACGTGTTTCGGATAAGGGTTTTCCAGCTTATCTAGATGAACCTTTTGTATCCATTTTACAGTGGCATTCGCTTTAGTCCTCTCACTTTTTAGGACACAATACCGCCACGTGATAGTAGTGAGTAGGCATTCCTAGGTGGAGTCTGTGAAATAATGGCCGCATAAGAGTAATTCTAGAAGATAAGAAGGAACATCCTACCCTCATACGCTTTAAGATTGCTATCGAAAGTATTTCAAAACATACCCTCACAGTTACTTTGACTTTACTGACTCATGAATATATCAGAGAATAAAAATTGACCTTTGATCGATTATGATTTTATTCGATTAAAACAGCCCAAGTATATTAAGTTTCCATGGAATTAAAAAAGTAGCTATGAAAAATCAACGTAATTTCTTGACTGGTCTACAGAAACTTCGGACTGTACAGTAAGATTTTTCTCACCACGCAAAGACATAAATAGAAGTTAGAAGTTCACGACCTTTATCTCAGTGGCTTATGACTTAAGGTATAAACTACTGCTTTAGCACTTTCTTGTCATATATGAGATAGATTATTTACAAAAATAAGTGAGCATTGAGGTGATACTTAATATTGTGTATCCTGACCAAAATAAAGGGAAATCACAAAGAAACCTTCCCATATGTGATTGTGTTCAAACAATGCCCTAAAATACAAGAAGTACTTTGTGAAGTTAATTGACTGAATTTCTTAGTTTGTTGCATATTTACCCTGAGTTTCATTGGTTTCGATGTACTCGCAAAATAGTATTCAGTAGATAAATATATGAAATTTCTTTGTTTTTAAGTCTTTTATTCTAAGAAAGCGACGTAATTAGTTAACGTACTTTTCTAAATTTTCTTGCACCAAGTAGTGATCTGGTCTTTTTTTTAACCTGAATGACAATTTAGATGGGTTGTTTGTAAGTTCCACTGTTTGAATTGCATAAATATACATGATAGTCCACTACATTTCGAGCGAATAATTCAACTGAACACATTCACTGAAGGTCTAGTGAGTATGATTCGGTAAGTATTGAAGTATTGCCAAATAAAAATTATACCTATTCAGTTTATCATTATAAAACGTGAATTGTATCTGTTTACTTTGTTTCTACTGACCAGGTTTTTGAAGAATACCTGTCTTGTTTTGTGTTTAGTTATCCTCTTTCGATATGCATACTGCTGGACTTTTGTTTCCATTACAACAGATAAATTAAATTTCTTTGAGTTAATCTTAAGCATTTACCTTCATCCTGGATAAGTTATTCATTCCTATTCCCTTTATTCTACAAACTTTTACTTAATCTGACTTTTAAATGTGTAGTTGAATTAACCTAGCGTCTTTCATTGTTAATCAAAATGAAGATGTCAGTAAACTGATCTTCAAGTTGAATCTTTTTGGAGGACTGAGAGTTTCACTAAATGCTCAACCTAAAAACGGCTACTTTCGAATGGCATGGTATTGGGGTGCTGCATTTCATTTTGGTCTGTTGTGAAAATCAGTCTTATTTGTCCACCCATCATATTTACCTCCTTCAAGTATCCAGTAAAGATAAATTATTTATAAACTTCGAAAAGCAGCGTCATAAAATTGATGCGTCATGTGTTGATCTGGGCTGTTCTTCTGAAAGTTTACTCCTTCAGGTTAATATTACCATAGTGCCAAGCTAATGAACACTTGGTCAAATACTTCACTACATCATTCGGAAGACGTTTACAATGAAAGGATACAAAACTAAGCAAGAAAAGCGTCACTGTATCATGAGAGTTTGAGTACTTTGTACAAAGCTTGGTAAAATAAGTTTTGTATGAATCAGAGTATGATAAGGTAAGTCACTGCAATGAAACTCTCAATCATAACTTTAGAATCCAATAGCACTTAAATACAGTTGCATAACAACAACTACTTGTCTTCTGGAAGAATAAATATTCGCTATGCCTAATCGAAAGACACTTGCCATTTTCAACCTTAGTCAAAATTTTTTAATAAAGAACTAGCAGACTGATCATGCTATATTACCAAGCATATGGGACAAATTCAGAGTAAGTTATTAAAACTAATCCCATCGGTTATAGACAACACAACTACTTATCAGGCTAGCATAAACCTTAGTAGCAAATTCATGTAAGCATATTTAAACTTCGTTTTGTACACCTACCGATTCATTGAGACCGAAGTTTAACCGATGGAATGTTCACACTTAAGTAAGGAGATATTAAATATATGGATTATTTCAAGAAGCTTAGTGTTCAGTTCGGTTTCCAACCACACGTAATATAGTGCCGACTAAAGTTATCAACAAACTGGGAAAGATCTTCAAGTCAAAACATTGTAGAAATACTTGAGACAACTGATTCAGTGGAAATTTATCATCTTGTAGTGATTTGTCCTACCAAGGAAATTCTTACAACATAAGCTCTGTTATTTGGCATGAGGGTAAAAGATCTACGGTTATTCTATTTAGCTTGGGGAAAGCAACACTAATATGTATTCGGTGTCTTTACCCAAGCTAGAGAGTAGCGTCGATTCAATATTGACGTAAGGGGATAAAGTTGAACTGGTACTTTTTACCTCTTCTTCTTTATATGCCTGCTGATCTCAGTTCACATGATACTGTGATAAGTGTTATATGATGCTTACAGTTATCTTACTATACGAGTTACTAGGATCATAATCACAAGTATTTATATCTGTTTGTTTCGTATTGTATAGTCTGAACTTTGTCTGTTATAGACCAGTGTTACTACTGTGTTTAAGTATCTTTCTACAAAGTTTCTAGTCTAAATAGACTGCTCAAATGTCTCTAAATTTTGTGGTTTTTAAGATAAGAGTACCAACCATCTACGCTCCCAAAACTACAACCATTCTCCACTATGGAACTAGGGTTGCAGTTTTGATAGCTACAGTATGAATTTATTTTATCTAGGTGGAACGTAAACAGAAAAGACATCGTATTAAATCAACCGTCTCTGTGCCTTGTTCTAAAAGAAATTGATTCGTCCGTTAACTCTTTTCTTTATTTTTTCCGTTGTAATTTTCTATGGTTTTAAGTCGCCCTTTTTATGGATAAAGCTTTATACTACTTGCTACACTTAAGTACTATAAGTCATATTTTGATATTTTCTGGTTCATTTCTGTTATGGTCGTATTTTACTCATGGTTTTAGCACTCTAGGATTTTGGTGTCTTTTCCACTTGTTTATTGCATTGTGCTCACTTCATTTGTTTCTCTGACGATCCGTCTTCATCTAAGCATTTGTTTGTCTCACGCCTTTATGTTTACCTCTCAATCCTTGTGTTTTTGACGCTTTCGATAATGGTTTGCTTTCGATACAGGTCTGCTGTCTAAACACTTGTTTGAATTCAAGGATAGAAATATGTCACGTAAAATAATTTCTAGTCACTTCCATTGAAGTCTAACAGTGTCACATGACTTCTTGTACTAAGGGGCATAGCGCCTCATTAGAGTTAATACTTTCTCGGTTCAACTAAGTGTGAACTTGACCATCCCAATCTTCCTGTTTGTTCTGGTTAGGAGTCAGGTGAGTGTAAATCTCTAAGTTTTGAAAATTCTATTTCTGATATTTAACCTTGGACTTTTTTAATGATGGCATTTCTATCCATTCTTTAGAGCAATGTCAAATTTATTCTTTTAGAACTAATCTTCATAGCTTTAAGCCACAGAGTTCCTAAATAATTTTATTCAGTGACTCTTGAGCGCCCAGTTTGGTAATTTTAAAGACAATCTATCTGGTCTTACTACTTTTTTCTGAATAACTTCGAAACATCTTTTCAACTTACGACATTGAATATATTCTCTCAGAAACTTAAATCACAAAACAAATGGAGAAAAATATTTTTTTTCAGTTTAGTCTTCTTTATCGGTTCAGCAATAATGTGAAGGTTTTACATTTAACAGAATGGTAGTATTTAGCGGTGGTGGATTAATTAGCTGGCTGAAGTTAATCGTGAAGCTAATACTCAGAAAGAAGACTGAGACTGATAAATACTGTAACTGCACGGAATTGGTAGATGAGTAAGGCAGTTTTTTAATTTACTGATTGCTCAAAACAGTGTGAAATTTGAAGAACTTGGATCAAGGAAGGCGGTAAACTATGCAGATACAAAACGTGAGCTGAAGACCGAAGAGGGCCCTTTTTAAACACAGTTCAGTCCATTTCTTCAACTATAAAAAATGAAATAGGTTGCTGTTAGACACTAACTTACCCTGATGACCAAGCTACTGCTTTACGGATTTTCTCAGTGTGCAGACGTTCTTTGGTGGAGTTATATAGCAACACCTTCTACTATGTGTAGCCAACGAATAAGTAAACTGCTCCGAAAACAGGATGATATACGGTCAATAAGCATAAAAGACTTGCTTGTATTCGCCCCATGACCAGTACCTACCAAGTCTTTTAAGTTGAAGGGCCAGCATAAGTGGATCACTCAAATCGTTTCTAGACTTTGAGCAATATAATTGGGATTGAAAGAAAGTTTATTTCTTCTTCAAAATTTCACAACCACCTGTCGAGTTACATGTTTTGGAATATCATCCATATTCTCATGTTTTTGGTGGAAATCATCTGCAGCATTTTTTGTTTAGTATGATCAATATATACATATGTTAGTTGTGCAGTATTCTTAAGGTTCAAAACATCTTCCATCTCTTTCACCTTCGCAACATGCTACTCATCTCAGTGAATACAAGGTTTTGTAAACAATGCCGTTTCCAGCTGTCTTCAATTCTCATTGTTCCTAGAGTTAGTGGAATTAGTCTCCATATATATATATATATATATATATATATATATATATATATATATATATATATATATATATATATATATATATATATATATATATATATATATATATATGGATTTGAATGATGATTCCGAGATTCGCAAATTTTTACCAACTTTTGGCTTTAATTCATTAAGTATCTTTACCAGGATTTCTCCGTAAGAAAGAGGATGCTCCATCAGTTAGTTTAGGGTGCGAAAAGCTCACGGCCTTGGAGGAGTATCTCCTTTGTTTCTGAAAAACCTAGACTTCAGAATGTCATCTTTGAATTTTGAATGGTGGTATTTGACAGATATTTTTTCCACATACTCCTTCTTTTACTTATGCTTGTTTAAGCTAGTAGATAATCTAAGCCTAGGAAATCTTTCTGAAAAAGACTGGAATTTGTCACTTTTTCTCCTGAGCAATAGCTACTGCGAGTCAGAAAAATATTCTTCAGTAGATGGATTGGCTTTGTTTCCAGCAAGTCACAACCGATGAATAACAGTCTCATATTCGAAATTCCTCATTGTTCACTGAATATGTATTCACAGTCCATGACAGGAAAGAGGTTATCATCTCAGGCATGTTAGGAGTCTAACCCATAGCCTAGTGCTTTAATGTATGATTATTCAAACTCAATTGCCTAACGAGTTTGCCTTTCACTTTGAGTAGTCTTCCTTCTATGAACAGAACAGCATACCAACCAAACCTATGAAATACTGTGTATTTAATTGTCATTAAGCAGTAACCTCATTTAGTTCATATTTATTGAAGTGGAACGATCAGTTTACTTGCTAACGTAAAGGAGTTAAAATAGTTGCTTTTTTGCACTAAGATTACCATCTATACATAAACAAGATAAGACTGTGGAGTTTTAAGCTATATCTATGCGGCGGATACAAAGGTTCAGGATTCTCTTTATTGCATTGCGATAAGATCAAAAACTTTATTTGGTTAAAAGTTATTCGCATGATATTTGTGTGTTTTCCCCCAAATAACATGAACTCCATTGAGCCAAATCCTGAAATAAGATTTTTATATCTTCAGCTTAGTAGTAGAAACACGACTCATTCTGTCTGCACATTTTCGTCTATAGACTTTAATATCCACTCGTGATAAGTGTCAGTATCAGATACCATCCTAGATAGCTAACTATCTGAGATATACCGAACTGATTTTTGAGGTTTCAGTTACCTTATAAGTATGTAATGAAGGCTAACTGGTGAAAAATAAGAGAAGAATATTGGTTTATTCTAGTTTTTACCCTTTCCGTAATACTAGTTTTGTTGATAACATTAGCAGACAGATTTTCACACTAGTAATTCATGGTATCGTTGTGCTTTCTGATTGATCTTTTAGTCAAGAAACTTTGTTGTGGTTGCCAAAAATTTCCATCTTTTTGAGTGCAAATGAAGAACCTGAGAGTGAACTACAAACAGAATTAATGTTGAGTGACTATGACTTAAAAAGTGGTGCAAAATATGACGCACCACAACTGGATTTGTTCTATAGACCGATTGGCAAGGTGTTATCCAATGATTCCTGTACAGACAAATTGTCTGATGTGGGAGAGACGTTACAAGCAGATCCTATTTTATGGTCCAAACTTGTTACTGAAAATACCAAGTTCCATGAAAAATCGATTAAATTTGAGAAGCTACTTATTCTTCTTAATAGTAATCAAAATGCCTCAGCTTAAAAAACTTCACTTATAAATGTTAATGTTTGTATTAAATAGTTTATTCACAAATAATTATCGATACTATCCTGATTTATGTAACTGCATCTAACATCTTTGTAACAGTCAAATTGAATGAAATCATGATTTCACAATATCGTTAAATTCTGATCGAGTGAATTTCGTAAATAAACTGCATTACCTGATATTTCATAATTTGATGATGCTTTAATCGTTGATGTACGCAAGATGCAGAGTTATCAAAAGTCACAACCCATATTACAAGTTTATCATCTCATTTTGAGACTTCTCTTCATTATGCATTTCCTACACCATAACGAAGGTGAAATTATATATCTCCAGAAAAACGCAATGAGGGCACACCGATAAAGTCGATTTGTAGGATAACTCTTATCTAAAGTTTCCGAATTCAGTTAGTTTGAATTACTGCACAACTATCACCTACTGTTACATTCAGAATGAACAGAGCAAATGGATAGTTGATGGTAACCTACAGCGCTCCTTGAAATCGAGGGAAGTTAATCAACAGGAGTAGCCTAATGTTGTGTAAATAAAAAGAACGCGATTTAAAAAATTGAATAACCTAAGAATTTTAAGTTATGTCCGTTTGTATGACCTACCACATTATAACTTCTTCTTATAATCCTCCAGTGATGATTTTATAAGACTGAACCTTTTTAGTGTGTTATTTTGAGTATCTTTCACCCCTTATTCAACCTATTTAATAAACTTTTAAATCAGAAACATTTCACCCCCTACAAAGTCGTAAACAATGAGGAATAAATGGAGAACACTAGTTCAGAAAAACTTAAGTTATGGTTTTTTAATCATTAAAATATATTTATACATTTGTACATTTATTCAAGAGAAATTCAACTACAGAACGTAAGGAACGCATGGATACTATGAATAATAAAAAATTTAATCGAAACACGGTATTATAATGTAAATTGAAAGTAACACTAATAGAAGGTATAAGGTGCTCAGGTGTTTCTTACACTGTCAAGCGCTCGACTAATTAATATGCACTTCTTAACTTAACAAATGGAATGAAAGTCAGTGCATATGAACAGCAGGTGTACAGAGAGTGATCGCACAAAGCGATCAACTAACAGTAAATATAAATTGGTATGCTGACCAATGCATGAGGCATGGTGAATACCTCCAAGGTGAACTAATGCTCAAGACATATCACTTTCAACTTACAATATAAATGGAAAATACTACTTCATACATTGTCCCTTTATGAAGTTGAATGGCGTAACCTGGGTATCGTTTGTAGAATAAGATGATTTCACTTATTTCATTCTCGAACAACAACAACAAACTCCAATCACCATCAATGGGAGAAACTTAAAGGAAGTAGCCACTTTCACCCATCTAGGCAGCACTATTTCAACTAAAGTTGGCGGGACAGACGGGGACGTCAAATGCCAGCCAGGATCGGTATAGCAAGACAGTGATTCTGTATGGTTCAGAGACTTGGCGCGTCACGAAAGGCATTTCCAATAAACTACAGACATCCATCAACAACTGCTTACGCTCGCTGCTGAAGATCAGATGGCCAGAATAATAAGAATAAGCAACAAGGAACTCTGGCTGGCTGGCAACGAACCAACCAAGAACCTATCACTCAACAAATATGCACTGGAAGGAAGTGGAGATGGATTGGGCATACACTGAGAGGGCGACTGGGAACATCACGCGTCAGGCAGGCGCTCGAGTGGAACCCAGATGGGAAGCGACGAGTTGAGCATTCTAGGTGTGGGTGACATGGAGAAGATCGTGTGAGGAGGAAATGAGAGCTTGTGGGCTGTCGTGGAGCCAGGTTCAAAAGATTTCAGAGAACAGAGTTCACTGGAGACGTGCTACTGAAGCCTATGTTCCATTAGGAACCCAAGGGACAAATGAATATAATAAATTTATTTCATTGGATTCACTTCAACTGTATGCAACCTTTTATGGAGCGTTTTTAAGATAGTGATTTTGTTTTAACGATCAGAAGGATTTAATAGTTAAGCACACGAAGAAATTTTAGGTAATAAATCCAAACAAACTACATAAGGGTTATATAAGCCAAGGTGAAGAATGATTGAGTGAGTAAGTATTAACGCGAAAATATTTTTTCAATAAAATGAGTGGGTTAGATGAAACTATGGCAATAACAACAACTAAGGTAATAATGAAATGCTAATCATGATGAATTTGGCATAAAACTGAAAGTATATAAGGGTAGAACTGTAACCAATTAGTGTAAAGTAGATGAAAAAGAGGCAAAAAAAATTCACTGACAATAATTTTTTTGACTTTTCCATAAACCCATATCTTACTCATGTCTTGTAGCAAATACTTTTAGTGTGACTTAGTACTGCAATCATCAGTTCAGCTGACAGCGTACTAATAAAAATTTTAACAATCAAAAGCAATGAAAAACTTAATATCATGATTAGAGTTAGATATTAGTAGACAGAATGACCATAATTATACGGGCATTTTATCTTGGAAAAGGTAGGAAACACTAACAAGTGACACTTGCATAATGAAATTGTCCAGTTATTTTTGATATACACTACTAATTCCTAATATTTGTAAATTATGTTTTAATTCCTTCATAGAACTGGAACTGATTTTAAAATGCTGACTGTTATAATTTAAAGTATGAGATCAGCCAATATTCCATTGGTCACAGATTATGTTATCTCTACTATAATCCTATTAGTCCAACGGCACCTAAACTATGTGTCATCCCAACCTTACGAATCCTTGAAACCACTAATTCAATAAGTAGTTGCATAAGAAGTCGGCTTTATTTTGCAGTGAAAATCCTCTTCTTTATGGTGAACCATGTGCAACTGAATTAACTATGAAAGAAACATTCATTTAAAAGTCATACAGGGAGTTGCAATACAAAGAGAAAACTGAAGTTACTCATACTAAGAAATTATGTACAAACTGTAAGCGTTTAAGGATCTTATTTTTAAAATAATCGGGTGTTGCTTTACATAACTGGACTCCACCTCTTTTTTTCTCAAGCACTGTATTCAGCGTTACATAAAATATTGAGCACAGTTATTTTACTTGACCCTTATTGATCACGCCAGCCCACTTCTGATTATCCTAATTATTAGGTATTATTTCATTTTCATTATATTATTATATTATATTATTAGTCCCTTGGGTTCCTAATGGAATATAGGGCTTCAGTAGCACGTCTCCAGTGAACTCTGTTCTCTGAAATCTTTTGAACCTGGTTCCACGACAGCCCACAAGCTCTCATTTCCTCCTCACACGATCTCCTCCATGTCACCCACACCTAGAATGCTCAACTCGTCGCTTCCCATCTGGGTTCCACTCGAGCGCCTGCCCTGACGCGTGATGTTCCCAGTCGCCCTCTCAGTGTATGCCCAATCCATCTCCACTTCCTTCCAGTGCATATTTGTTGAGTGATAGGTTCTTGGTTGGTTCGTTGCCAGCCAGCCAGAGTTCCTTGTTGCTTATTCTTATTATTCTGGCCATCTGATCTTCAGCAGCGAGCGTAAGCAGTTGTTGATGGATGTCTGTAGTTTATTGGAAATGCCTTTCGTGACGCGCCAAGTCTCTGAACCATACAGAATCACTGTCTTGCTTTTCCGATCCTGGCTGGCATTTGACGTCCCCGTCTGTCCCGCCAACTTTAGTTGAAATAGTGCTGCCTAGATGGGTGAAAGTGGCTACTTCCTTTAAGTTTCTCCCATTGATGGTGATTGGAGTTTGTTGTTGTTGTTGTTGATGGTGGTGAGGTATCTTCATCACCTCTGTCTTCTCTATATTCACCTGAAGTCCCGTCTTCGCAGCCCCGCTTCTCCTGCCAACTTGTTAGTCTTCTCCTGTAGATCTTCAAGTTTATGTGACATCAGGCACAAGTCATCGGCGAAATCCAAGTCTTCTAGGCTCTTTTCCGCAGTCCAGCATATCCCCCTCTTCTCACAGCTCCCCACTGTTTGCTGCATGATTCAGTCCAGTCGACCACAATCAGGAATATCATGGGGGATAGTAGGCAACCTTGTTTCACTCCTGTCTTCACTTCAAAAGTATCACTGAGCTAGCTTCCCATTGTGAATTACTTGGCATGTGGCATCTTCATATAGTTGTTGAATGAGGTTGATAAAGGTTTGTGGTATTCCGTAGTATTGAAGCAGTTTCCAAATTACCTCTTGGTCGACGCTGTCAAAGGCTTTCTCAAAGTCGATAAAGTTGAGGCAGAGTGGGAGAGTTGACTGTCATTCTATACTCTGTTCTATGATGATGAGTAGTGTGGCGTTTCAATTTGGTGTGCACATGATTTTTACTTCCTGAAGCCAGCCTGCCTGTTCCGGTCGTAGTTTTGAATCCAGTGCATCTTTAGTCTCTCGAGGATGATGCGGCTCAATATTTTGCTTGGTGTGGGTGGACAGGAGAGTGATTCCGCGTCAGTTCTTGCAAGCACTGAGGTCTCCCCTCTTCGGCAGTTTGACAAGGTAACCCTTCTTCCAATCAATGGGCAGGTACCTTCTCTTCCTTCCACACCTTTTGCAATAGTGGTGTGAGCATGTCCGCTGCTGTTGTCTCTGCATCTGTTCTCAGTGCTTCTGGTAGGATCCCATCTGGTCCTGCTGCTTTCCCACATTTCAGTAGCTTTATGGCGTTCAAGACTTCCATTTTTGTTGGAGATTTTCATTATAGACAACATAAAAAGTCGATTGTAACTCAGTTTCACCACAGCTTGCAGTTACGATTCAATACACTGATAAGATGGACATTTTTAGGTGCATAAATTAACGAGTGTTATGTCCCATAAACTGCCCATCTTTCTGTCTACAGTTGTCTTAATTGCCTTCTTAATAATATCGCCACATACAATATTCAAGCTGATTTTAGTCGAATGCTTGATTAGTTCACTTTCTCATCTCGCATTCAGCGTTCAGTTGACTTAACTCTATTTTTTCAATGAAAGGTTTTTTAAACACGTTAGTTATAGACGTTCAATGAGAAATAACTTATAACAGAGTTACTGTGCCAAAATTCTTTTAAAAGTAATAATCCATTGGGACCAAAGTTACTGTTTTTATTTAGTGCTTCTCAACAAAATTTCTTGAGTGGGTCATTGCAGTGAACTACACTATATTCATGTTATGAATTTAAATCGAAAATATTCTTGTGTATACACCTCGTTGAAAGCCAGAATGTTCCAGGTTGGCAGTGTATAGGCATGTTAGACTCTTCTTGGTGACTGCCAGTAGGATCTTGGACCAGTGTTTTGTTTTATCTGGTACTCATCAGCTGGATATGTCTACATCCAGGTGAATGATGTTGCTGCTGCTGAGACTCAAACCTAATTCTCGTCTCTTCGAACACCAAAGCGTTACCCCCTAGGCGGCTGGGAACGAGAGCCAAAACTTGTGAAACGAGTATCATTTGTTATTGTTTAGTGTTTGTAATTTACCGCCGCCATACGGGATCGAAGTGCTCGACCTTTGTTGGGAGATGGACTCCTATGCGGATGCCTCGATACTGTTGGGAACAGCATCATCACTCACTAGAGTGCAGGTACATCCACCTGATGAGTTCAAAATAGGATGAAACGCGTGTCCTAGATTCTATTGTGACTAACTAAAATGAATACAAAGTCATTAATATGCAGTAGGATAAGGGTATCCATATAGAAGCCCATCTATCAACAGAAGTTGAACATTTCGACCCTGTATACCAGCGGGAAATTAAATGTATCAAACAATAATAAGCATGCCAGTCAGGCAAGAGGAAATACTTACATTCAGATCAACAACTTTAATCAACACAAAAGACTGGTGCATTTAGCCTTGTTTATTTTCAACAGTGTTTTTCTTGCGTACTTGTGATATCTCTAGTGTCAAATATCTTTTCATATTGCACTGTCGATTTTGTATT